GATATGCTGGCCCAAAGCCTGTCATGTTTAAGATAAGGGGCAGATTGTCATGCTAAGACCCCAAATTAGAAGACTTGGTTTGAGATGGCTTCAAGTCCTTTCTTTCTTCCTTTCAGTGGTTATTTATTCACTATATATTGGAGCCCCTCTTCTAGGGTGTTGGGGGCACTAGTATAAACAAAAACAGTGATGGGTAAGCAGCCATCTTTTGCTATGACAAGACAGTCCTGAAAAGGCTGCGAAAATAACCCAGTCTTTACTGAGGTCCATTATTCCTACTTTAGAAATACTCTGTGGAAGTTTTGTCTCCTATTACAGGGTAAATATCCTGTTAATATGAGTCATTTACATCTTAGAATGAATTATCTGGTCTCATTTGATAGGCTACTTCTGGATTGATTTTGACAGCTAAGAAACCTCAGAGGACACATCCAAGTGAAGATTTGAAAAAAGAAATGATAGGCTATATCTATCTGTGTTTGTTTAAATGATCAAGAGAGTTATAAAAAGATACCTTATTATAGGGTCCTGGTAAGAATAGTGGCACAGATCTGGGGCTTTAGACTAAACAACTACTTGATTAATTATGTGACTTTGGTCAGGGCACTGTACCTTCATGTATAGAACTTATTCCTTATCTCTTAATGGAGACTGCACATGGTTCTTTAAAGTCCCTTTTAATACTGAACATTCTGAGATTCTGCTGGAGTAACTGAAAAATCTGAATTGTCACAAGTTGTTTTCTTGTGATGGGTACAGACCATGCTAGGAGCAACTTGTGGGAGGCATTGTGGGTCTGTGGCATGGACTAATAGTGGCAGGGGCTACATCTGTGGTCTGCAACTCATGCCAGCTGTGCAGTATTTAGTGTTGTGGGACTAAATGAATGGACTAAGGCCTGGCAGGTGCCCAAACAGCAGAATATAGGAAGTAGAGCAAGGAAAGCTCCCCCCCACAGGTGACTGAGAGCTACCTGAAGTTCTGTGATCAATGTTCTCAGTCCTTTGGAGTCTTTATTCTCTTCTAAAGGCAAAACCATGAATCTCTTCAGGGTTTTTTTTAGGTTGTTAATACTGAATGGTGAGCAATACCCTTTTCCACATTGAATTCCAGGGTGTTCAGCCAACAACAGTAGCAAGACAAGACGCTGTGCTACCCCAACTTGTAGACTAGCAAAAAAGAGGTATGTTATAGCAGTATGTGATGTATGCTGCTTATGAGAGGTGCATCATCACTGCAAGCAGTGACATCATTGCTGTTACTTTTGAGAACCATCTATGCAGAAAGCACTGAACTAGGTCTTTTATATGGGAATTGAGACAATGGCTGTGAAAATGGAGGACCCTTAATAATAAATGTTTTTTTTTCTTCTTCTCATCCGAGGACATGCTTATTGATTTTAGAGAGGAGAGAAGGGAGGGAGAGAGAAAGGCAGAAAAACATCAATGTGAGAAAGAAACATTCATTTGTTGCTTCTTGTACACACCCTGACAGAGAACTGGACCCACAACATAGGCATGTACCCTGACTGGGAACTGAACCTGCAAACTTGGTTTATGGGGCAGAGCTTCACCCAACTGAGCCACACTGGGCAGGGAAATATATGTATTTTTAATAGTAAATATAACTTATGATAAATAATAAATATGATGTCCACTTTAGAGTTCAGGAAACTGATGTTCAGTTAGATTAACTCATCTAAGGTAACAACTTCTTTTCTGGATCCATGGTTTGTAAATTTACTGTTCTTAAACTTTCTTCACTCTTTAAGCAAAACCTCTTATTCCTAACATTTCAACTGTTATAGACTAGTCCTGTTTTTTTTTTAATTCCATATCATATTTTTCCATCTACCCAGTGAAATTACTTGAACTTGAAGTCTTAACATATGGAAATTCATATGGTCAGAAGGAATAGTTCTTTAGAATTAAATCAAGTTGTCCTGTTAAAGGTTTGGAAACATTTGGTCTAATTGACATTTTCTTTTGGTCATTCATAAATATTCTTTCTGTCCTTTTAAAATAAATATTTGGTAGAGCAAAAGAGAGATCAATATTTTAAAAATATATATTTTATTGATTTTTCTATTACAGTTGTCTTTTTTTCCTCCCCTTTATCCACCTCTGCCCTGTACCCCTCCTTCCACCATCATTCCTCCACCTTAGTTCATGTCCATGGGTCATATATATAAGTTCTTTGGCTACTCCATTTTCCATACTATGCTTAATCTCCCCCTGTCTATTTTGTACCTGCCATTTATGCTTCTTATTCTGTAACTTTTCCCCCATTCTCCCCCCTCCACTTCCCTGCTGATAACCCTCCATGTGATCTCTGTTTCTGTGAATCTGTTCCTATTCTAGTTATTCTAGTTGTTTGCTTAGTTTGTTTTTGGTTTTGTTTTTTAAGGTTCCATTGTTAATAGCTGTGAGTTTGTTGCCATATTACTGTTTGTATTTTTTATCTTTTTCTTAGATAAGTTTCTTTAATATTTCATACAGTAAGGGCTTGGTGATGATGAAATTTTTTAAGTTGACCTTATCTGGGAAACACTTTATCTGCCCTTCCATCCTAAATGATAGCTTTGCTGGATAGAGGAATCTTGGATGTAGGTCCTTGCCTTTCAATGACTTGGAATACTTCTTCCCAGCCCCTTCTTGCCTGCAAGGTTTCTTTTGAGAAATCAGCTGATAGTCTTATGGGAATTCCTTTATAGGTAAGTGTCTTCTTTTCTCTTGCTGCTTTTAAGATTCTCTCCTTATATTTAATCTTGGGTAATATAATTATGATGTGCCTTGGTGTGTTCCTCCTTAGGTCCAACTTCTTTGGTACTCTCTGAGCTTCCTGGACTTCTTGGAAGTCTATTTTCTTTGCCAGATTGGGGAAGTTCTTCTTCATTATGTTTTCAAATAAGTTTTCAGTTTCTTCTTGCTGCTCCTCTTCTCCTTCTGGCACCCCTATGATTCAGATATTGGAACACTTAAAGTTGTCCTCATTTTGTTGAACTCTTGTTCTTCATTCTGTTCTGGGTGAATGTTTATTTCTTCCTTCTGTTTCAAATCATTTATCTGAGTCCAGGTTTCCTTCCCTTCACTTGGTTCCCTGTACATTTCTTTTATTTCACTTTTCATAGCCTTCCCTTTTCCCTCTATTTTGTGACCATACTCAACCATTTCTGTGAGCATCCTGATTACCAGTGTTTTGAACTCTACATCTGATAGGTTGGCTATCTCTTCATCACTTAGTTCTGTTTTTTCTGGAGCTTTGATCTGTTGTTTCATCTTGGCCATTTTTTTGTCTTGGTGGGCCTGTTATATAGTAAGGGGCAAAACCCTAGGTATTTGCCAGGGTGGAGCAACCACATGGCTACATTATGGTGCTGTATGTGGGGGAAGGGTCCAAGAGGGAACAATATTGCTTGTTCACCTCTCAGCCAGCTTTCCATCACTTCCTCCACTATCTACAGACATATTGGGCCCTTCTGGTGCTGATTCCTGGGTGGGTGGGTATTCTAGAACCCTGTGGGTTTTTCCAATAAACTGTCCTATGAGAGTGGAATTTTGTCCTGCCACCTCAACTCCCATAGGTTTTTTTCAGTTAGAAGTTGTGAAGCTTTATTTCCCTGAGCTGGAACCACAGGTGGCATGGTCAGTCTTGCTCCCCAGTTGTTCCTCCTGGTTTATCCACACCCAAATGTGGGACCTCCCACTCCTCCAGCCATCACCTTGCCACCAGTCCTCTCCATCCCAGCTGCTCATACTTGCCTCTCTTATGGGTCTGGATGAATGTTTCTTCCTTAACTCCATGGTTGTCAGGCTTCCATACAGTTTTGGTTATTTTTTTGTTTCTAAAATTGTTGTCTTTCTTTTATTTGTGTGGGGTGGCAAAGTGTATCTACCTATCTTGGCCAGAAACTCCAGAAGACATCAATTAAAAAATAATAGCCCAAAGACCATTCTAGAATAGATATCAACATCTTGTTAATAAATATAGATAAAGGTAGTTAATTCTATATTAATTTCACATTCTCTATTATCATATTGCCATGAGACTGGGATATGAGTATTTTTTTTAATTTCTTCTTTATAATGATTAGTGACTGCTTAAGAAACATATTCCAAATCAGACAGGGAGAAAGAGAAGTGGGAGAGAGCAACTCTGAACAATGGTAGTAAAGCCATCACTGGAGAGGCAGAGGAGCCAGGTAAGAAGGGTGGTTGAGAGAGGTCATCTGCCCTTTCCAGGCTTAGGAAGTCCTGATTTTAGTCTAGCCATGTGGGTATCATTGCTTCTTTCCTTTTATTAATGAAAGTTATTTCTGTTCTCCTTTGCAACCTATACTACATAACAATTAGTGAGCTTGTGAACTAAGAAATACCAGTGGTAGACAACAGGTGCTTATGTTTATAAAGTACTTCTTAGCAGGTGGGACATTGCTGAATTTCTTAGTAGCTGGGTGCTATACATAGATGAAATGGGATGCCTTTCATTCTTTTTGTAAAGTCAGCATTTTGTAAAGAGATAGTTTTTTAATATAACAACTTTTGTGTCTTAATATTATGGAGGTATAATTTTATCAGAAACTAAGGTGCCAAGAATTGGAATATTTATAAGTCATGCTTCTGAAAGTGGCTTCTTTGTATATATTTCTGGAGTTCTGTTTCATCTATGATAATTTTGTTATTAGAATGATATGTAAATTTTGAAGAAAAGAATATTGAGCAACTCTTACAGTGTTCTTTAATCCATGGTTGTAGCTATATATTTTTCTTCAAAACCAATATTAAATGGAGAAGCAACATTAAGAGTTTAAAGTGTAATTGGTGTTTTAATTTTTATAAACACTGCAATTTTTAAAATAAACAACTTTTTGGCATAAAATGGTTTAATTAAGTGTTTAAGGTAGATATAATTAGTAAATGCAACATATTTTATGGACATGTGTACAAAAATCATAAATAGTAACAGGGATCATAATCACACTTATTATTTTTCTATTCTAGATATTTGAGTGGTGGTATTTTCGCAAGTATGGAACATCATTCATTGAACAAGTCTCAGTAAGCCACTTGCGCCCCCTTCTGGGAGGTGTTGACAACAACTCCTCCAACAATTCTAACTCCAGCAATGGGGACTCAGATTCCAACAGGCAAAGTGTCTCAGGTATGGAAAGTCCTTCAGTTTGCAGCAGTGTTTCCTTACTCTTACTAAATTATTATAACCATATGACAGTAAGAATGTTATTTAAATGTTTGACTTTAGGTAAAAATCTGTTTTTTTCCCTGAGGAGATGACAACCTTTACAGAGAACTAGTATATAAGCATTCCAGGGAAAGGAATATTTATCTTGTTTAATTTACTTTTTCTTTCATTTGATTTAGCTAATGGTCATTTAGATCAATGTTCCCAACTTGAGTCTTCAGCCTCCTTTTCCCTAGTTTCTCAAACTATTATTGAATGTATCCATTCCTTTTCATGCTAATTACAGAATCTTAAGTCTAACTAGAGCTGATAGCATTGCTCCTCTGCTTAACAGGCTTCACCAGTTCTTACTACACTGAAGATAAAGCCCAGATTCCTTCTCACAGCATAAGCTGCTTCTAACTTATTTTTGCCAGCCTTGGTTTCTGTCACAATCCAATCTCTTTCCTTTACATTTCTTGAACATGCTATGTTTTTTGAAGATCCTCTGCCTGGAAGACTGTCTCCGTGTCTACCTGTCTCCCATGTTTGTTCAACTTTCACAACCCAACTCAAGTGTTATCTTCTAGGAAGCTTTCTGTGATAGGATTGTACACCATCTCTCACATTCACTGACTCTTAACTTTTTATCTTTAGCAACATTGATCAAATTGTACTATAATTTTTAAACTGTTTCATTACCATACCTCTAGCACTTTGCAGTGTTTGTTATATCATAGAAACTCAATGAATGAATGAACGAGCACATACAAGGCCTGTGCTTTCTCCACTCATAAAAGAAAGAAGAATATAATTTTCTATTATATTTTTGCTCTTGTAATCAGCTCAGTAAACATTTCCTAAGTCCTTAATATGAACCTAGCCTTGTACAGGACCTTATGGAACTCTTGTGTCTACTGATAGAGACAGAGTTTTTGACTGTATGAGGGAAACATCCAGTGCTATGGAGAACAGAGGTGGGATTCTTGACTCAGACTGGAGGAAGTCTTTTGCTTCTTGATGTCCTGAGTCTTGAAGAATTAAGAGGAAGAAACTAAAGAGCTAGGTTAGATGTTTTTAATTCCTCTCTAGAATAACTCAGTCCATATTACAGTCAAGCCACGGGATAAGTATCAAATAGAATTGTGTATATATTTTATTTCTGATGTTGATTTCAATGCTCTTTTATAGACCCTTTGCCAGCTACCCATGAGTGGCAATAGGCAACTCTAGGTACACATTTAACTTTATCCTAAATGGTACAAGTGTAAGAGATGGCACACTGAGGTGACAAAATTGTCTGGAACTTTGTAAACTCATCTACTTTGTGAAAGAAACAGAAAGGTATCTGAGCAAAATGAACCATTACTTCAACCATCTACTCTAATGATTGTGGCATATTACGCTAATGAGTAGTCTTGATCACTCAGTCATCATCACAAAAGCAGTTGTGGATAATTGCCATCATTTTGCATCTGCTGTGAAGACCTCAAAGATTAAATGCACTCTTGTCTGATTACTGTAGCCTTTGAATGATATAAGATATTATAGAAAATTAACAGACTGAAAACAGAAAGCTGCCTCATTTGAGGCCATTCTTTATTGTGAATACATTTTTGTTTTCATTAAAATTACTTCTCTACCCAATTTAAATAATTTATGTTATTCCTTAATGCAATAAAGACCTCATGCTCTTATTGTCATTATAATTTTGCTATCTCTCTTTGTGAATGCCTTGAATAAGCTCTTTATAAAAATATAGTCGATAATAATAATTATAGAAATCAGGGGATTTTACTTATAAATGAAATAAAGGAAATCATGGAAATCAGGAATTCATTCCCAATTTCATTTATACTAAGTTATTACCTGGAAAAGACTGAGCTTTTGAATATTATTAATACAGTTCCACTAGCATTTACTGAATGTGTACTACTAGACCTGAAATATTTCTTTTCATAATATATATAGTATTTGTGATCTGATCTCATAACAATTTAGGAAAATGGGAATTACATTTAGGAAAATGGGAATTATCTTAAATATTTATAGGGCTCAATATGCCTACTTTTCGACATTTGGATTTCTAATATTTGGCTCTCTTAGCCCAACAAACATGTAGCTGATATGAAAATACCAGATACCATGGGACTAATGCCATTTTCCTCATCTTTTTTTCTTTATTTTACTTATTTATTTTTATTATTTATAAGAAAAACAGTATAAAATTGTGTGTATCTCTTAACTTTCTGTATTCTGGATTCAGCTAAGTGTAAAGGCAAAAGAAGGTCAAAACTGAGGATAATCAAAACATATTCTTAAAATAATTTGTTTAGAAATTCCTGTTGCCTTAATAATAACGAAATGACTATTGCCTTAATAACAGAAGGGTGAATCTATTGAATTTTCCTGGAGCAACATAAGACATTTATTTTCTGAATCTTACATGAAGTACAACATGGCTGACAAAGTCCCATGGACATTGACAAACACACTTTAATGACATTGCTTATTTGAGGGAAATTATTGAAAAAGCTAAAAATAAACTGAAAACATTGGTTTATATGAAAACTCATAGTGTAGCTGTTTTCTTCAAGAATCATTTGTTTTGATTAAAAGCAGAAAGAACTGGCTTACCTAAGAATAATTTTGGGTGGGGAAAATGGGGTGGAGAGGTTTGTGACTGTTACAGGGCAGACTGTTCATATGTTTGTTTAACTTTTGGATCTGTGTGAATTGACCTGAGTATAGACCCTCTCAAAATTTGTAGTAATCTTCATTTTAATGTAGCCAGATTGGTTGACTTAAGGTCACATTTATGAATATTTCACTTGTTTTGGATTATTTGGAAGTTAAACTGCTGTTTTTCTCACAAATATAGTTTCTGATAAATCCTGCTGATATGTTTGCCATGTCACCATGTTTCTTGCTGCCATTTCTTAATTCAACTTAGCTTTTGAATAGGGATTTGAAACATGTCCAATTTCTTCCCGTCACAAGGGAATGAATTCTCAGGGCCCAGGAACATTCTAAATTTGAGTTTATGGAAACACCTGTTTGATAATTTGCCCTGTTTTCAGATAAGATGCCATAAAAACAAGGTTTGCAGCATTCAGGTTCTTCAAGATATTTGGAAAAGTGTAGGGTGTTCCATCACATGAGAAGTATAATCGCCAAAGTCAAGTTTAAATTCTCTGAGACACTTTAATAGTGTCTTGTATAGAACTCGATCTTTAGACAAATACTGGTTACAGTCTCTTGACTTCCTGTCACAAATCATCTCATTTTAATATTATTTAATCAACATAAGATATATATCTTTTTAAAAAGATTTTATTTATTTATTTATTTATTTATAATTCACTCAAATTATAATTCACTCAATTAGAGAGAGGAGAAAGTAGAAAGAGAGAGGAACATGGATGTGTGAGACATAGATCAGTTGCCTCTTGCATGTCCCCTAACTGGGGACCCGGCCCAAAACCCAGGCATGTGAATTGAACTGGTGACCTTTCAGTCTGCAGGCTGGCACTGAATCTATTGAGCCACACAAGCCAGTGCTAAGATATATATCTTTTATATAAATCTTTAAAAAAGAATTTCACCTGGGATTTTAAATTAAAGTTTATTATATTGCAAGAACCTGTTCAAGCGCTGATTAAATATAGATAATAAAGTAAAGAAAAACAATGGAAATGAAGAAACTCAGAATGCTAGGATATATCCTAAGAACTTCATAGATCTTTGAATTCTCATAACATCAGAACAAATAATTTTCCCCAGAGAAAGCCATATAGTTCAAATAATAACAGCTAACATTCTTAGTTCCTACAATCAGGTTTACATCTATTAACTCATTTAATCCTCACAATAACCTCATGAAGCAAATACTGGTATTATCTCTATTTTGCAGTTGAGGGAGTGAGTCATAATGTAACATTTAAAGTGAAGGAGAGTTTTTATTATAAATGGGTGCTGGATTGTTTTCAAATGCTTTTTCTACATCTGTTGATACGATCATGTGGATTTTATCGTTTATTTTGTTTGTGTGGGATATTATGTTTTTGGATTTGCCTATTTTGTATGAACTTTGCATCCCTAGAATAAATCCCACTTGATCATGGCGTATGATCTTTTTAAAATATTGCTGGATCAGAGAACTTCCGCCAAGATGGAGGCTTAGGTGGAAGCACTGCGCCTTCTCACACAATCAAATTTAAAAACAACAAAGTTTTAGCAACAAAAATGCAGCTAAACCACAGAAAATTGAACTACACAGAAGTCTGACAACTACAAACCCTTCAGCCAAACCAGTAAGAGGGGCAGAGCCAGCAGCAGAGCAGGGTCGGACAGGAAAGATTCAACAGACCAACCGGAGCGCACAACCCAGGTGCTCCAGCAGCTGTGGGCGGATCCCAGGTGTGGAGAAGCAGGCAGACCCACTGAGGACTGATCTCGGTCATACATTCTCGCGCAGATAAACCAGTGAAAGAGCTAGCAGTGAGATGGACCATGCAGGCCCCATTGGCAGGAATCGGCAGAGGGAACCACCATTGTCCCTCTCTGACCCCGCCCCCACATACAGCATCACAAACCAGTGAGCTGGGTGGCCCCACTCTGGTGAACACCTAAGGTTCCACTCCTCATACATAACGGGCACGAACAGATCAAAACATGGCTCAAAAACAGCTCAGAGCCCCAGAGCCCCAGAGCCCATAAATCTAAGCCATGAAGAAATAGCCAAACTTTCAGATGCACAGTTCAAAACAATGGTGATCAGGATGCTCACAGAACTGGTTGATTTTAGTCACAAATTAGAGGAACATATGAAGGCTAAACTAATTGAAATGAATGGTAATGCAAAGGAAACCAGTAGTAATGGAAAGGAAAATGGGACTCAGATCAAAGGAGTGGACCAGAAGGAGGAAAAAAATGACCAAACAGAAAAGGATGAAGAAACAAGAATTCAAAAAAGTGAGGAG